GTCGTCATGTACACAGCTGTGTACAGCTGCATGTCGTCATGTACACATGTTCTGCATGTCTTCTCCAGGGTACAACGCTCCTCTCCTGAGCTGCTGCTCCTCTTTGCTTCTTCTCTCCTTTATAAAATCATGTTGAGAGAAAAATAAAGCAAAGAATAGATCTCAACTGTCTGCATCTCGACTCTCGTTGTTCGTTGTAAAGACACGTGCGTATACGTGCATATAGCTTTCTGTTATGTGCTGATGCGCTGGTCTCATTGTTGTGTTGTTTACTTGCTGGAATGTATGTGGGAATGTGCAATATGTGGTTTTATTGAATTATTAGTTTTTATTGAGTAATAGGTGTTTTACATTTTTGTGTTTTATTGTGGGGTTCACATGATTGTATTGATTTTAGTGTATTTAATCGTGGAAGAAGTTTTGTTAGCGCACGATGTCCAAGACAAATTTGCTCTTGGGGACAATAAAGTATACATCTATCTACATCTATCTATGTTCAAAAGATTGGGATAGTTCGTGAACGTCACATGTCTAGTTTTAAGTTAACTTTGATGTAAATTACTTCTTTGATCTCCTTTCAAGCCATCTATCTTCTCTGTCCAAAATAAGAAAATATAAAAATAAGAACATTTTGGTCCTGAAAAGAATGTCCTTTATCCTCGAGGTGTGGGTGCACAGCTGAGTCCTGTCCCGTGTTGAGCCATGCTCCTGTGGAGTGGTTGTTTACTTCCTCCATCGCACTCCCACTTTTGCACCCAACAGTTTTTAAAAGTTAAAGATTATAAATGATGAAATGAGGTAAAGCATGGATAATAACCAAAAAGAGCAAAGCAGTAGCTAAATAAAATGGTAAACTTGTAACTAAATGCTAAAATTATATATTTAAAACATTGTAGCTCTTCTTCATTCGGCTGCTCCCTTCTTCAGAGTCTCCACAGTGAGCAGATGGTGGGGGTTGAGGGCCTTGCTCAAGGGCCCAGAGTGGGGCAAATGATGGTGGAGGCAGGTGTGGGTCCTTCACCTTTCTCACCCACATTTTGATGATGTCAGTACTGGGAGTTGAACCGGCGACCTTCCGATCACAGACCCAGCTTCTCTAACCTCTGCGCCACCACTTTTCTATTTAAAAAAATTGTAGCTAAAATCTGAATTTAACTAAACTAATATAAAATGTCAAAAGGCTAGTTTGAAGCTGTAGCTGTTTTCAAGTCTTGCCAAAGTTTTTTTTACGTCTTTCTGCTAAATTCTTCCGTTTTCTGCTTTTTCTTCTACTTTTTAGACATTTTTCTGCAAATGTTATCCCTAATTTCTGCTAGAATTTTTTTGCCACTTTCTGCCTTTTGTGATTCTTTCGAATAATTTAAACTTTTATGCTTTTCTCAGCCTCTTTCTGCTAATGTCAGTTATTTTATTTTAGCTTTTTTCATCTACTTTTCTAAAAAAAAAAATCAGAAAAGTTCAAGGCAAAAACAACTGGACTTTATTTTGTAACTGAAGACGTTTCGCTTCTCATCCGAGGAGCGTTCACAGTTCAAAGACGGACCGCGTGGAGTTTTGAGTTATAAAGTTATGACGTTATAAAGTTATGACGTTATAAAGTTATGACGTCATAAAGTTATGATGTTATAAAGTTATGACTCTCTGATCTGCTACAACCGTATGTCCCACCACGCGCCCTGAGGTCAGCAGACCAGTTGCTCCTCACAGTTCCAGGAACTCGTCTTAAGCGCAGAGGTGACAGGACCTTCTCTGTAGCAGGACCAAGACTTTGGAACGAGTTACCTCTGCTTGTCAGACAGGCCCCCTCCCTCTCGGTTTTCAAGTCCCGTTCAAAAACTCACTACTATTCAGTAGCTTTCAACACCAGATGATCTGTGTTTTGATCCTGTATGCTCCACACTGGTTTGTCGTCATTATCTGCATCGTTTTTATGTCTATATTCTGATTTACCTCATTTTGTATTTTGCTTTGTGTGTTACCTGTTGTTCTGTCTGTACAGCACTTTGGTTGGCCTTGTAGCTGTTTTAAGTGCTTTATAAATAAAATGGCATGGTATGGTATAAAGCTGAGGTGTTCTGTGTGCAGACTGCCTGCAGATGCAGTCTTTTTGATTTTCCCATGTCCTGGATGACTGAGAATCTTCACCAGCGTATATACTTTTCTAATAATTTTAGCTTTTTTCTGCTCATTTCTGTTTCTTTTTTGCATCTTCAGATTTTTTTTAATTCACAATTTGCTTATTTCAGCTGATTTTCTGCTTCTTTTTATTTTTATTCTTCTGCTTTCAGCAAATGTCCGCCGTTCAAATTCATCTCTCACTGACCGTTTAGTGATGAAACCTTTTCAGTCTGGTTTCAGCTTCTTCAGCAGCTTTCAGCAAAATCATTCAGCAGTTAAACATTCACTGTGCGCTATCACAGGACATGAAGTTTCTGTAGGCTGTGTTTTGATGCTGAACCCACATCTTGTTCTTGTGGCTCCAGGTGCCCAGATTGACGACAGCGTTCCAAAAAGGTCCTCAGCCAGGATCCTGGCTCCTCCTGGAGGCAGATCCAGCGGGATCTGGTAACGAAGCAGCCACGTGAAGTGGGAGAATGAAGACTGGGGGAACGTTTGGCCACAAGCAAGACTTGTTTTTCTGTCTGGAGTCTTAGATCATGTGCACTTTTTATTTTTACTGTAGTTTCTTTGGACTGTGGAACAGTTTGCCTTTGTGACCTGGGAAACTTTTCTTATGTTGCAACAGCAGCCAGAGTTCAAAGGTTAATCAAATACGAGGAGCAAAATAAAAATGTTTAATTTGAATCTTGTTAGAAAAGTAAATCTAACTTTTTGTGTTAGGAAGACGAAGGTGAGTCGTGGTTTCAATGCAGTTGTGTTGCCTCAATGTACAGTACAACTGTTGCACTTGCACCATGTTCTAATCTGACGTCTTTTTACACAGTTCAACACCACAACATCTTTTTACTACAAGCCGCAGTGACTGAAACATAATTAATAATTACCAGGATGCTACAAGACGATAACATGTTGGGCATTGAACAAACTGTTGCTATTGGTCCATAGGGAAAACAGAAAATATATTTTTTGTTTCTTTAGGCACTTTTTGAGTTGATTTAATTAGTTTACATAGAAATATGAGGTTTCGTCTTTTTAAGGTTTGCATTTAAGATCATATTTACACAGTTGGGCTTCTTTCCCACCCCCAGTAAATGTGAATGAACCTCTGCTGTGATAAGAATGCTATAGCAAGCACAAGTACTGATTGTCACCACGTTTGTTCATATTCATCACCAAAAGTATAATATCTCACTCATTTGTTGTTTCTTTCCACAGCTTCATTCACCAGTAACTTCACATGTACTCTCCCACATCTTCTGTGCAGACTTTATGTTGACTGCTCCATTTTTAATTATTATTTTACATGTTGGGGTTGTAAAAACCGACACTTGTAATGTAGCATGCCACTGTGCAGCACACGTAGGAGATGAAGGGTGTTGTTAATGCCAGGCGTCTGCCTTGTTTGTTCTGCAAGAACAAAAATAATTGATGTTCTTTCATTTGTTTCTCATATTGATTAGCATTTAAAATAAAGGTCTAACGTTTCGTGAGCATGTCACATCACCTTTCAGCCTGTCGTTGTTTAGACTCAGATCAACTCGTGTTGAGACCCGTTGGAGTCACGGCCCTTTTGGTTGCGGCTCGAAGGACCAAACTGTTGGATGAAAACATCCTCTATTCATCTCACTTACTCAAAGAAGCCACGCTCGAGGTCACGAGAAGATTTTTAACTGGTTTTACTTGCAAGGACAGACTTTCACAACAGATTACACAGAGAAGTTCTACATGCACAGAGCCCAGTCACGAGGATCTGCCACGGGCAGCGTGCGAGGCTTGTTTTTATAAACTTATCTGCTCACAGGCAGACACTGATGACCTCGGCCATCCAGCTGCACATGCAAGCAGCTCATCCAGCCGTCACATGGTTCATGGGCAGTTAACATTCTCCAAACCTTGACCAAAATCCCCCGACAGTCGACCCTTAACAAGCAACTAATGTGTTATTTTAGTTAGGAGAAACAGAGTTGTTTCCAAAAGTTGATGCTAAAGTTTCATACAAAGTCTAGCACAATAAATGGCCTTAAAGGATATGTTGTAACTGAACTACAAACAGAACCAGCTGTAGCAGAAAATTTGCAAATTGACTGAATTATGAACAAACGTGTGTTTTCTCAGGTCAGTTGACTGTGGCAGACCTCCTGGACTGAGTGGGCTTTAAAAAAATAGTTGTTGTCACATCCAGTACTATAATTCTTTTCTGAAGGTTTCCCTTAAATCCCCCCAGTGGCTCGTGAGATATTTTGCTAACACTTCAGATAAACATAGACATGAGCAAGAATTGCTCTCACCTTCAGCGGCAGGTCATGAAAAGATGAGTTATTGTGTTATTACGTGATTTTCTTGTTTTTGTTGAAGTCGTGACACACACGACTCCTTCATCTTTGATTTTCTGGCCTTTTTCACGTTTTGTTTTGCTACGCTCCGGTGAATCCTGCAGCGTCTGTTCCTTTCCAAATGTACGCTGGTGCTCAATAATGTGTTGTCACATTGAATTCCTTGCCTTTTTTTCCTTGTAGCTTTTTTACCTGAATAAAGTGCAAATAAACAACAATGAAGTCACAACTTGTGTCTGAATTCTGATCAGTGCTGACTTCTGCACGTTAGGTGTGATCACACGAGTGTTTGACGTTTGAAGCTGTTTCATATTTTTTACATTATTTAGATGTTTTTATAAAGCATTCTTATTATTGAGATACATTTTTCATCTGGACGTTTGTCAGTACATACCTCGCTCCGTGTGTTTTGTTCTATTTCAACAGTTTATGTGTTACAATGTTCAGCTCATTCAGGACATTCCTGCTGCGACTGTACCATTTTTAAATTTAGCTTGTCGGACATGTTTTCTTTTTAAAAATTAATGAAGCTCTTCACATCCTTCAGACCCTTTCAGCCGTTTACAACCTATTGTATATATATATATATATATATATATATATATATATATATATATATATA